CGGAGCACACCGAGAAGTCATCACGACCTAGCAGAGTGAGCTGCAAGGTAGCTAACCTAGCATCATGTCATTGTATTGTGCGAACACTGTGAAGACAAGGGCTGGCAGCGCCATATTGTGTCTTGTCATTTAAGGCATTTGTACATAGCCCTCTGCCTGCAGCTGCGCTATCACATTATCTACGCCAGTGCTGAGCAGTGCTTTGACTCTCTTCACTTTCTTTTTCTTTCTTACGAAGCCATTCATTGTGCTGTGTTGTATTACTCAGACTTCTTTTTCTCTTTCTCACTCTTATACTCTCGATTTTCTTTCTCAATAATTTGTCTGGCACTGTATATTATACCAGGATATATCAGCAGTCGGCCTCCCGCATGAAGCATCCCGCTTCATCCAATCTATTGTTCCCATCGGATATCACAATCTGCATCTATCCACATCGAGCGACACTGAGGACTCGATCTCGTACATATCGCCGCCAATCAACTCCGTTGTCCGCCTCTTGAAACATTACAATGTCCATGGTGATGCGCTAAGAAGTGCATGTGAGAGTCAACCGCCACATGCGGACGTGCCAACAAAGCTAACGGCTTGTAGAGCTCGCATCCCATATCACATATATCCGAGTCACCTTTGTTGTTGCTCTTCTGTTTCTACTGGCGTACAAATTTGTTGAATCACTCAAGGCTGACGGCCTTGTTCGCTCGCAGCAATGGAGGTCTTTTGCCGCAATGTCCCCCAGGACTTGTCAGAAGAGAGCTTCAAGCAAGAACTCATCCCGTTTATGAAAGCTTTGAACATCACCGACTTCTTTTGCGACAAGCCCAAGAGAAAACCTCAAGCATGGGTCAAATTCCTCAATCCTGGCGATGGCTACTCATTTCTTGAAAGACATGGCAAACAACAGCGTCACGACCTACCACAGAAGGAGAACATCAACCCGCGATATCCTTTCAAGACCAACTTCAGGCCAAAGGATACCCCGCGTCTCCATATTCTCAAGACAGCTGTGTTTGTTGAGAAGAGTACTCGCGTACTCGACAAGCATTCCATCGCACATCTCAAGCATGAACGTGCCAAGGAGCAACAAAAGGCTGCCGCCGCTGCTGCTGCAGCTGCCACTACCAAGGACCGACAAGCTCCGGTTAAAGCCTTCATTATCAGCAGTATCAGCTGTGGCGGTAACACATTCCGTGGTCCCGAACAGGTCATTACATTCGTTGAGCACAACAGTCTCATCCTGCTCGGAGACGTTATTGGCAAGTTCACGCCGCAGTGGTTAACTGTTTATGACGAAGCTGGGTACCGTATGGATTTCCACAACGACACAATCCAGGATCTTATCGCCAGTCGCAATGATGCATCCATCACTTTGGTGTTGACTGAACCGCCAAAGATGTACACACCTCACAAATCCGACAATCCAAATCAGGCGTGGAAACGAGTCCAGGGTCTGGTCAACTGGGGGCTGATTCGCGAATACTCGTCATCTTGCCTCGTCTATCGCATCTTCTTCACCTCCTTGAACGATATGAACGAGGTCCTCCGATCTGTCAAGCACCGAGATATTCTCGCCGTCACCTATCATGATCTCCCATCCGTTCTGTGGTCATACATGGAACCCGAGAGCAACCATTTCCTCGGTCGCCAGCAATTTACAGAGAAGGCTAAGCGCCTTCTGGCATCAGGAAATGTTCACTTCGCTCTTCTCTTCCAAGTCCAGGCTTTGGTCTGGAACAACTACATCAATCCCGCGAGCGGCATAGAACTGCTACATATCCTCGAACAAGTCATTACGGATGCTAAAGAGAAGAAAGTCGCGGCTCCCGTCACCACAGATGCCATGAAGACCCTTCTTCAAAAGATTCCCTACCCTTGTCCTGGCACGGATCCTGATGAGTTGAACGTTGTCGCATTGATGGCCAGCATCATGGATGAAGAGTATGAGGCCAGGGCGGAGAACCCCAAGCGTGACAGAATCTATGGAGCCAAGATTCCAGATCATCAGATATATATCTTCAAAGCCATGGTGACGCCCACGCGTATTCTTCTCTCTGGCCCCGAGCCCGACAGCAAGAACAGGGTGTTGCGAAAGTATCACGAGAACAATGACTACTTCCTACGCGTCCTCTTCTGCGAAGAAGATGGACAGGACCTCAACTTTCATCCCAAGGTTGACAACGAACCAATCTTTGCCCGGTTCCGACACGTCATGGACGAGGGCATCACAATTGTCGGCCGAAAGTTTGATTTCCTAGGTTTCTCCCATTCATCTCTTCGTTCTCACTCCGCCTGGTTCTCTGCACCTTTCACCGATTCAAACTTTGAGCGCCAGACTCCTGCAGCTATTCTACAAGCCCTGGGAGACTTCAGCGAGATTCGAGTTCCGGCAAAATGCGCAGCACGAATTGGACAAGCTTTCTCAGAAACTCCATATGCAATCCCGATTTTTGAAACTGGTATCAGCCATCGGTTTATTCCGGATGTCAAATCTGAAGATGGAACCCGTGTATTCAGTGACGGTGTTGGAACGATCTCCCAGGACGCGTTGGAGGAGATTTGGCCTTATCTCTCAATGCGAGCTGCAGCACCAACATGTCTTCAAATTCGATGGGGCGGTTGTAAGGGAATGCTTTCTCTCGACACTAGACTCAAGGGGAAAGTCTTCTGTATTCGACAAGAGTCTATGATGAAGTTTCCAAGTGACGATCTTAGAGAGCTCGGCATTTGCGACGCCTCATCCAAACCTCTTCGACTCGTTCTCAATCGCCAGATGATCAAGATCTTGGAAGATATGGGGACACCTAATGATTGGTTCTTCAGACTGCAGAATAACGCACTTGACATACTGCGCAATGTCACAGCTGACGCGACCAACACGAGCTATTTCTTGGACTACCAAGCCATCGGTGTCAATATGGGGCTGCCCAAGCTGGTCAAGCAGTTGTACAAGATGGGCATTGACTACCGCCGGGATAAGTTCCTCAAGTCAGCGGTCGAACACGTCGTCTTGCGAGAACTGAGACTGCTGAAGCACAAAGCCCGCATTCCCGTTGATCAAGGGGTGACTCTTTTTGGCGTCATGGATGAGACGGGATTCCTAAATGCTGGTGAAGTCTTTGTCACCTACGACAAAACGCACGGCGTCTACAGAGGGCGTCGCATCAACTCCACGCTGAAAGATGGCCGGATCATTGTCACACGTTCACCAGCTCTTCACCCAGGAGACATCCAGATCGTCAACCAAGTCACACCTCCACAGGGACATCCTCTACGAAGCTTACAGAACTGCATCGTCTTCAGCCAGAAAGGCAAACGTGACTTGCCCAGTATGCTAAGTGGAGGAGACTTGGATGGTGATCTCTACAACATTATCTGGGACCCAGAAGCATTGCCAGGCAAGTATTTCTTACCGGCAGACTACCCAAGAGTTACGCCGAAACCACTAGATCGCCCGGTGAAGCCCCAAGACATTGCCGACTTTTTTGTTAACTTTATGCGAACTGATATCTTGGGCATGATCGCTACAAGACATGTCGTCTTGGCTGATTATTATGAAGAGGGAACAACACACCCTTACTGCATTTCCCTTGCGGGCATGCATTCTACAGCGGTCGACTTCTCCAAGACAGGCATTCCAGTCGACGTAAAAGCTTTGCCTAAGAACCCCCCGTTCCGTCCTGATTTGTAAGTCTTACCCCCAACACTTTGCAGAGATGTCCTAAATTATCTTGTAGCCTTGCAACAGCTCCGCCCCTGAAGACGTACGAAAAGGGTCAGATCGCTCATCTACATGATGAAGATGAAGATGACAACGCCGACGATGGCATGGCTCGTTACAAAGCAAAATATTATGAGTCTGACAAAATTCTCGGTCGTCTATATCGAAACGTGGATGAGAAGAAGATTTGGGATGAAGATATCCATCGGATTATCAACACAGCTGGGCCATCTGTTTGGGATCAACTACTAACCGTTGTTAAAAGCGAGGTGAACAAGTATAAACTTGACGTCGATTGGACACGTAGGTCCGACGAGGCGTGGAAGATCCGAGGCCTGTGAGTTAAAATATGCCTCTGACTGCTTCAACATGCTAACAACCTCAGATACGAGTCGACTATCACCGACAAGATGTGGCACTTTTCAGAAAATCCGCGTGCACCGCTTACAGAAGTCGAAGTCTTCTGCGGTTTCATCCTCAACAAACGCGGTGCCCAAACACGCCGGCAGGGTGATTCATCTATCAAACTGAAAGAAGAAATTGACCGCATCATGACATGGATCGTCAAGCAGATCCGCGATCGCGGTGTAGGCGACGGCGCAGAAACTCTCAGCACAGCCACCGACGCAGACGCAACTCCTTCGCGATGGAGAGAAGACGTCGTAGAGCTATGCTGGGCGTGTGTAGCAGTAGCATGTATCAGAAAGGAATTTGCGCCGATAGTGTACCACGGAACGGGCGAGCTGGAGAGTTTCAGAATCGTGGCGGCTTGTTGTCTACTGAAGGAGCTGAATAACCTGGCTAGGAAGATGGAGATTAGCGCTGGAGGAGGCTTTGCTGGTGTCGGACGAGGACGGGGAGGACGTGGGAGAGGCGGTGCGGGGATGATACTTCCCATACGATGATTGAGATTCACGAGGTCATATGTGAGATGTGGTACATACCAAGACTACTGGACAGAGAGATATGAGAGCTTGTAAGAGTTGTGTTAGAGCTGGCTTGAGAGTTCGATGATAATGAATAATGAGAATACTAGTTCAGTAATCACTCAATATCTACATGATAATAAGCAACACTGGCATAGAACGTCAGTCAGAACCAATTAGTAATACTGCATGATAGCATCCTGATCTAAACACTACTACGAAAACCGAAACCCGCGAATTTCAACCTATGTATACAATTCCAGCTAGATACAACTAGCGTAAGCGCCGTCCCAATTCCTCACACAGCCCAGCCCAGCCCAGACCTGTAACGATACACACTTGCTGTCAAAAAACGCCTAGACCGCGCTGTATCCTCCTCGACTTCCTGTTCCCTGCACGGTGTTGAGTACACGGCGGATCCAGTCCTTAAGTAGGTAAGGAATATCGCGGATGGTGTCGCTGTGGGGGAGAAGATCCCAGCCGCGGGCGCCGTAGCGCGTGAAATTGATCCAGGATGAGAAGATGAGGTAGCCGGCGATGCCCAAGAAAGCACTAAATTTGTTAGAAATTCGTCATAGAAACTGGTTTGTGTTACTCACATGATGATAAACCAGGTGAAGAAGCCCCAGTGGGAGCTTGAGCTGTCATCATCGCCGCTACCGCCGTTGTCCTCTGACTTTTCGCAGGCATACTTAGTATACCATGTCAAGCGCAGAACCCTGACCTTTTCCTCATCATCAAAGCTATTCCAGATAAGCGACGCATTGTCATGCTTCAGCTGATGCTCAATCATAGACTCGCCCTCATCCTTATCATCACCATCCCCTTCCTTCTTATCGTCGTCCGCTCGTTTCTCGTACTGGTCTGAAGTAACCCACTCGCCCTCTGTTCCCTCCTTTTTAGGATCGCATAGGAACTCGATGATGGCCTTTTGATCGGTCTTCTTGATATCGCCCTTGAGAGGATCCCTGCCTCCTGTGAGGACTAGTCGTACGCCCTCTTTATCCTTATCGGAAGTTGAGTCGCTTGTCTTGAGTCGCGTAGGTGTAGCATCGAATCGAGAGCCGCCAACGTTTTCGAGATTTCCTGCGATCGCGATGACATTCGTAATCTCATCTGTCTCCTTCTCGCCAGACTTGAGAAGGTGTGTAATACCGCAAACTAGATTTGTTAGTCAGGACTCGATTAGCGCTTGTAGGTCTTGTACGCACCTCGAGTGCCGTTTGGACATTCTTCATCCTTCTTGCCACCCTTCTTCTTCAAAGGCTTGCAGATATCTAACGTATAAGTTGTGTTGTAATGTTCGGGAGGACTGGGCTTGAATCGCGTCGTCAGGACCGAATGAGGTCCACCGAGCTTAGAAAGATCAAAAGTATGGCCATCTGCGCGAATCTTTCCGCAGTCTAGAGTTTCCGCGGCGAAAACTGGAGCTGCCAGCAGAGGCAGTAGAAAAGCCAACAGATCCGGCCGATGCATCGAGAAGACCTTGATAGAAGAACGCAGAAGTTTGATAAAAAAGAGGTGGTTGCTAGCGATAGGATGGAGATGAAATTACGGATGGAGTGGTAGTATCGGAAAGGGCCGTGTAAGCTTAAAAGAAAGAAGAGACTCGATAGATCAGATTACGAGCGCGTGCCTAGAACAAGCAGTCAAACTGTGCTGTGCTGTGCTGTGCTGTGTGATGTGATGGATTGGTCACGTTGCCTCGAGCTATCGCGGGTTTGCTAGCGTCATATGAAGCTCCTGTCGTCTTGGCGGTTGTGTCATTGCGCCCAAATGGAAGGTAGGAGCCCAGTTCCACAAGCACGTGACAGTTTCTGGAGCTCAACGAGTCGCCTAGCTAGACCACATGGCAATATCATTATAATCCCGGGGTAATACATAACTATTTTCTTTTTATTCGTGGTCAATTCTCAGGCTTCGTAAAAGAGATAACGCTATAATAGACCATCCCTCATGATGTTACAATAAATCAATACTTTCTTCCAACCTGAGCCGTAACACCAAGAACAGCGACATCTGTCACTGCATCACCTTGTCCAGAACCAAACAGCCAAACGCATAAGAAACCCTTGAACCTGGATTGAAAACTTTCCTCGGGGTATAAATCTGCCCAAACTCATAAACCGTATAAAAATAACGTGCTGGTCCTGCCTGAACTCCTTTGATGATCAACCGCCTGGTTCATCCTCTGATCGTGTCTGCCGTGACATTAATTCTGCCCACTATTATCTTGTCAGGTCTCGTTCGCGACATCACATCCCCTGGGGGCCACCCATCATTCCATTCATCCCCTGCATTTGCTGCATCTGTTGCATCTGCTGCTGTTGCATCTGCTGTTGGTGCATCTGCTGTTGTTGCTGCTGCTGCTGCTGCATCATCTGCTGTTGCTGTTGCTGTCGGCGCTGCGCCATTGACGCTTGCACAAGGTTCTGAGCTTGCCCCATGCTCTGCGCCTTCATTTTCTCGATCACGTCTGGCGGAATATGTTCTTGGCCACCATACTTCTGAGCTATTGCTGGCACCATCCGACTAAAAATCAGCCTGGCCTGTTGTTGCATTTGCGCTTGAATTGGATTTTGTTGTCCCATCTGCCCCATTTGTTGTTGAGCCTGCTGCTGCTGGACTTGTTGCTGCTGCTGAGGGCTCATCATGTTGCCCTGTTGTTGGGCCTGCTGCTGCCGTTGCTGCTGCATCGCCTGGAAAGCTTGCAGGTTCATGCCGTTGGGCATCATCTGTCCGCTGACTTGACGCTGCATAGGACTATTTCCCATCTGGCCATTAACTTGGTTCATGCGCATCATCTGTTGGAACTGTGCCTGCATTTGAGGGGTGAGCTGTCGTATCTGGTTGCCCGACATGTTCTGCATTTGCTGAGCATATTGAGCCGCCAACTGCTGCTGCTGTTGAGGGCTTATCATGTTACCCTGCTGCTGTGCCTGTTGCGTAGCCATCAGTTGCCTTTGCATTGCTTGCATCATCTGCTGTTGTTGCTGAGGGCTCATATGGCTCATGTTGCCACTGTTAAGACCGTTCTGCATGGCCATCTGCTGCTGTTGCTGTACAGCACGTTGTTGTGCCAATTGAGCCGCATATTGTGGGTTCATTTGGTTCATGCCCTGGCCGTTCATCATCATGCCCTGACCTGGCTGCGAGTTCTGTGCCATCATAGCTGGTGGAGGGCTTGCCTGGCTCATGCGAGGAGTTGCCACCATGGCAGGCCTGTTGATCGGAGTACCTTGTGCCATGTTGGGCGTTGAATGAGGCATTCTTGGTGTGCCGGAGGGATGGCTCTGTTGGCTGCCCCTGGAAGACATGTTATGAGCCATAGGGACAGACATTGCTGCGGCGTTTTGCACGACAGAAGACGGCCGAGGGGGGCTGTTTGCCATGCCAGAGTTGGTCTGTTGCATTGGGACGCTGGCAACCATAGGAGACGACATATGCTGAGGTGTACCTTGGCCAGCAACTGGAGAAGACGCCGGTGGTTGAGTGATCTGAGCCTGGAAGCGGGGTTGTGCTTGCGGAGGCATATTATTAGCCATTTGAGGCGTTCCCACAGCTGCGTTATTGACTCCGTTAGTGACGACATTGTTCTGAGGATGACCGTGCTGTGGTTGGTTCCCGTTGACCCTCTGAGCATTTTGGTTGTTCTGACTGTTCTGATTCGCCGCTTGGGCGCGAGCTTGAGCTTGTCGTTGAGCTTCTGCCTGTCGCATCTGAGCTTCTCTCGCAGCGGCCTCCCGTCGGAGTCTTTCTTGTTCAGCATTTTGTTTCTGAGCCAGCGCTACCGCATCTTGCTGCTGTTGCTGTTTCGCTTGTTGCAATTTCCTGTCATTCTCCAACTGCTTGAGCTTCTCTTGTTCCTTCTTCTCGGAATGTTCTTGGCTGATGGTAGCCAAAAGCTTGAATCGTTCGAATCGAGGTTCGAATGTTGATGCACCGCCTGAGGCATCACCATCGGCTGCGCCACCGTTCTGCGCTCCATTCGCATTTGATGCAAGACGCTCGTCGGCAACCAGCATGAAGCGTTCCGTCTCTGCTGCAGCGGCTTCGTCCGCAGCCATCTCGGCAACAGTTCGCTTTCGTGTTTTGGGTTGAGGTGGAGCCTCTGCATGCTTGGGGTGACTCATTGCCTCCATTAGGATAATTGTTTCTTCGAGGTTCTTAGTAGGCTCAAGCACCAATGGCGCGTTTGTTGCCAACAGGATCTGCCCCTCTGCAGCATGAATATTGCTGCTGTCGAGCTCTGTCTTTTCACGTTTCTGGCGCTTTGCGGGTGGCGGCATGGTACCAGCTGTAGGTGTCGGGGGAATAAGTGACATTGGTGTGGACGGGGGTTGGCCAAGGCCATCACCCAGTCCTCGCGGGGTGGAAGCTTTTATTAACAGGTCCATCTGTAAACTTTCGGGCGTCGGATGGAGCACCATGGTAAAGACCCGTGGCTTGGTCGCCTTGTCTTTTTGCTCCTCAGGCGCTGGCATGACGGGGGCATTTTCCTTTTCAGCCACGTCATTCCCTTTTGAGCTTCCATCTCCGTTTGACAAATTCTCTTTAGGAAAAGGAACATTCGGCGATGGTGTGAGACATTGGTTATAGTTATGGATGGAAGACGGCATCATGGAACCCTTTCCTTTTGTGGGTTTGGCAACGTTCTTCGCTTGCGCAAGAGACTTGTGGTCGTGAACTTGAACAATGAGACATCCATCATAGAATGGCACACCGGCATCGGTGAAGTAGGAGAGAAGATCATGGGGGATCGTCCGGCTTCTGACGTGATCGAGGAATATTTTCATCGGTGACTTGTACGGAAACACGCCATCTTGATTATCGAATCGGAAATGTGTTGTGTGTAGATGGCAGACAAGAGAGGGAGGTCGACCGGCAAATTTGTTCAGGATATAGGAGTCTGTAACAACTTCATTACTGTTAGTGTATACACAACAACACGATAAGTCAGAACATCGCATACTATAGGGTCGAGGTTCCGCGTCGTGGCCAGAGTGGTCTGCCGCTAATGACGCTGATCGCAGGCCAGCACTATTCCTAGAGTGCCGGCCCTGCAACTGCAATGCGGTTTCTCGTCGGGCTCTGTTAACAGGTCGGACGGTTGATGCGGTAATGGCCCTGTCGCTCGCCGAATGCGGCGGTTGCTTGGCACTCGGCGGAGGTTTCTTTGCCGACATTGATGGGGATGGTGATGATTTTGAGGATGTTATAGCGCCATTCGTCTGGATGCCAGGAGGTACTGGGCGCTTCACTTTGTTGGCGACATTTTGATGGACTATAGGTCCAACTGGCGCCATCGTGTTGTGGTCGCGCTGCGCCGTGGGGGCTAGCGGTTATGACGATATCTCGGCCGATGTGGTCCGCTCGACTTTGGTGGAATACTTGCTTAGGTCGCAAACATGAATGGTAGAAGCGAAACGGCACGATGCGGGATTCGAGGTTGGTTTGATGAGAATAGGCTGGTCGCACGTTGACTTGATGGATGATGCGGAGTTGGCCGCGGTAGTCTCACGTTAGGGGCGCGAGTATCTCAAAGAACCGCAAATCGAGAACAAAGAAAATGGTCCATGAGAGGTTTTTCAAATAGGACAGAGCCGTCGATTTCTTTGTAGGTTTTGTTGCGTGGTCTCTGGGGTCGGATATTAATTGGATGATGGTTCACGCCTTGTCGCCCGTATCACGGGTGCATTCCCTTGGATGAAGTCGGCTCGATTACGGAAGATCACGTCACGTGATGAGACGTGAACAAGCGCATCGTCGCAAAAGTAAGAGGCATAAAAGGTTTACACACAAAATTCAATATCTTCTAAATAAGGTAGATGAAATAATTGAATAAATACACGCGTGCTCGTGTCTGTAAATAACCCTTAATAGCATATACTAAAGTTCAAAGCTCATGGTATCTCGTGCCAGATTGCGCAAGACGCGTTAGTCTCACTCCTGGCCCTGAACTCGACGCGCCCAATCATCATTCAGCCTCATACTATCGACAACCACAACTCCACGTCCTCGTCCAACTCTTTCAGGACGCTGCCACCATTCTTGGCTCTTTCCAGCCCTCTCAGCTTCAGATTCGCTATCTGCCAATCCACCAGAGCCACCATCAGCTCCAACAACCAGAATGACGTCATGTCGAAGCCAGGTCTGGAGGGTGGTGATGATGCTGCCGTCCTGACCAGAGAGAGCCTTCTGGAGGTAGATGACTTCTGGCTGGAGGTGTCGCAGGATATGAACGTGGCCGTTGGGTGTAGTGAAAGGGAGAACCATTGTCTCCTTTTCGACCAAACTTAGAGCCTGTGAGTAGATGGAGTTAAAAGAAGGGCTTGCGGATTCACTACGAGTTGTCAGTAACAGTACGATTCGACAGCGTAAATTAAAGCATACAGCTGGTTCTTTGACTCTTCAGCTGGGGTTTGAACTTGATCGTGTCCAATGTTAGAAAATGAAGAGCTCAGCGAAGTTGGCGGAAGGTTACTAGTAGCAGTATCCATAGCAGGTTCCTTCAAACCAGGAGCGTAAATCAGAACAAATAGCTTAACCTTGGAGTGATCGATGTTTCGAGGGATGTGGGAGAGGATAGACTGGAGCGTGTTAGTGCGCGGCCTCGGAGAACAGTCTGATCAACTTACAGCGTGCTCGTGGAACGAATCCTCCTCTTCAGGCACGGCGCCTGTCTCGGCAGACACCACAATCGCAACCGTCTTGCGTCGCCTATTGCCGCCGACGAGTGCTGACGACGTATCGGCGGGCGCTCGTTCTTTCTTAGCATCTGCTTCCTCTTGCCAGGGGTTGGTATCGTCAAAGGGGCTCTTGTCCTCCTCGCGAATGCTAGCCAGAGCCTTGCCCATAGCTGCACTCGCAGCTGCGACACCAGCCGCCACAGTCTTACCTGTCGAGTCAAAGAACTGCTGCGGGCTCGGTGTTCGCCGTAGAGCACCAGACATGCGCGAGCCCCAGCCTCCGCCGGCCGCATCTTCGTCCGCGGGCACAATTCCATGGCTCTGGCCATCAGGTCGTGGTGGTTTCTCGGGGCCCTGAATATCGCGCGAATTGATATCTCGGGAACCGTGGGGTTGATTATCACCCGGGCGAGCTTGATTGCCGTAGTCTAGGCCGTAGTGGTCGTCTTCGTCGTCTCCGTCTTTTCGCTGGCTCCAGACCCAAGCAGCCACGCCCACAGTAGCAACTGTAAGTGTAACTGCGAGAGGGACCCAGTGGCTCCAAACTCCCCGTCGCGACCGCGACGATCCGTGATCGGGCGACATTTACGCGGCGCACTGTCGCATTGCTAGGTGGAGGTGATGACGCCAATGGCTGTAGGCGCAAAGGGCCTTTTCGTGCAATTCGAGTGTCGTGAGTTGTGACTCTTGAGCAATTGCGTGATATTGGCGCAACCGTTAAAGTAGCGAAGTCTGGGGCCAGATCCGATTCTTGTCGATACGCGGTGGTTGGTGTAATCGGCGTCAACAAGCCAGTGGAGCTGAGGCCATCTACCCCCAGCAACAACGGGGTCAGCATCCCGAGGGCCGACAAAGAGCTCAGCGCAGCGTTTCAGGGGCTCAATTGCGGGGGACTATCCAATAATCCGTGCCGAGGTCGGGTCCAGTCCGTCCACGTGAATCCGTGTGGGATAAGATATGTGGCTGTGCCTTGCGACCGCCACAGCTGCAGCTGCAGCCACAGGCGGGACAGCACCCCACGAACGTACATTTTTGATGTCTTGGCAATGGATTTGAGTGACTCTTCACTTCATACTTGGCTTCATACAGCAACCACGGCCCTCGCGTTGGCATTAACAAACCAACCCACACTCTGAGGCCACAGCGGACTTCTACCGAAAGTTGATTCTATCTCGGATCTTTCATCTCTGTATCAGTAAATCAACAAGGAACCCCGCGGTGTTATGCCCCACGCTGTATCGATGCCGTCAACTGGGCTTCAAGCCCTTATTCTTTGCGGGCCTGGCTCGTCATTCCCGACATTCACCTCTAACCCCGATGAGAGCCCCAAGGCCCTTCTCCCCATTGCAAACCGACCTATGGTCTGGTACGCGCTTGATTTCTGCTATCGAATGGGCATCACAGGTCAGTCAAACTTGGAGCTATAGGGTGACTCATTGGGTATATCCGTCGATATCTCCTCACTCTCCATTATGAAAGGATACATACTGACAACTACTAGACATAAATCTTGTCTGTCCTCCTACAGCATCCGAGGCTATCTCAACTGCTCTGAACACTAACCTTCATCTAACTGCGCTGCCTTTGCCGCGACCCGACATTCTCTCACCAGTAGACCTTGATCAGAACACAGGCACTGCTGAGATCCTACGGCTGCCAGAGATTAGGAAGATTATCACTGGTGATTTTGTAGTACTCCCTTGTGACTTGGTCTGCGAACTTGCAGGAGACAAGCTTCTACAATCATGGATGGTCAAGTCAGCTAGTCTGACAGACATGCTTGGAACTGCCAGGCTTTCCAATGGCCATCGATCAGTTCACAGCGGCGCACTTGGCGTTTGGTACGACACAAAGGCAGTTGCACCTGTCAAGAAGGAGGAGACAGACTTCATTGCGACAACCCCATTGCCTTCATCTCCTGTTACACCATCAAAGGGATCTCTCTTCTCAAACTTGTCAAAGCTGGTGTACTCCATGCCAACCGACTCCTTGAGAGATTTGACAGAAGACAAGGGCTCACTTCCCATTCGACACGGCTTGTTGCGTGCTCATTCTCGTGTACGAATGTTCACGACACACCGAGATGCCCACATCTACATCTTCCCTCGATGGGTTCTCGATTTTGTCAAGGGTAACGAGCGAATGGAGAGTATTGGTGAGGATGTTGTCGGATGGTGGGCGAAGGCTGGCTGGCAATCTGGTCTTGCCGAGAAGTTGAAGCTGGAGAGTGCCTGTGCCCAAGGTCGGGTTGAGGAGACCAAGGACGATGAACGACCCAGCTCGCCTTCCCGGGTTTCCACCCCCGATAACATCCAAAGTGATTTGAACCCATACCCAGACGCGACTGCCGAGACATCAGTGCCGAGTATTGCAGTTGATGACGAACCATCAGCTGCCGAGAAGTCAAAATCGTTCCAGGTCCCGCCGATCGTTGCCTATGTCCACCCGGGCGGGAGCTCAGCTCCTTTGATTCGCCGTGTTGACACGGCACAGCTGTTGCTCGCTATTTCACTTCAGCTGGCCAAGCTTCCATCACTCGAGGAGACAGGCGGAGAGTCACTATCACCATATGCACATGCAAAGAAGATCGCTTACCCTGAAGGCGTTAAAGCACGCACGACAATCACACAAAAGGACAGCCTCATTGCGGAAAATGTCACTGTGGAGGAGAAGACCTCTATCAAAGAGACTGTGATCGGCGCCGGTTCGCAGATCAACGAGGGTGCCAAGCTCTCTCAGTGTCTACTTATGGAAGGAGTTGTTGTTGGAAAGGCATGCAAGCTGACACGTTGTATTATTGGAAAGAGAGCAGTCATCGGAGACGGGTCTGTTTTGACCGACTGTGAGGTCCAGGAGAATCTGCTCGTTGAAGCTCGAAGTGAGTTCCCGTCTCCCTACCCTAGAGGTGATCGACACGCTAACCAACCCACCCCTGCACAGCTGAGGACAAGGACAACAAGCTCATGAGCTCTGAGGGTTTGGAGGCCACAGAAGCTGAGATGGAGGAAGTCCTCCAGGACATGGAGGCTGACGCCGAGCAAGCAGTGATGGATTAACTTAGAATCTCGGATGTAACCGTAAACGGAGAAGCATTCAATAGAGTTATTCGCTTGTTTGTTTCGACCCAACTCTCTGCTATTCCCCTCACTTCCAATATCACCACTATGGTTGCATTTCACGTGTGGTGTTGAATGTTCGAGACTTTTCCTTACATCGCATGGTAGTATCGAGGCCCCGGTACGTCTAGGCCGAATGGATGCCCGTCAAAGTGCCATCGCCACCTGGGGAATACGATAAGTTGGAATGGATTCACAGGCGAATGCTGGATTCAATATCGCTTGACGGGAAACGTCTGACTTGAGACCCACGATGTCACCTACCAACCGTGCCGAGCTATCCTTCGGGGGCAGCTTACCAACATGTCTCGCTTCACGTTCATCCGGACAGCAGCAGCTCTGCAAGGAGAGCATTGTCGATCGGGAAATCGTACGACTTTTGCACTTTGGGATGTTTCTTACCAAGAACTTTGGGATATCTCTTTCTCGATAGCAACAGCACTAACTAACCTAGATGTGAAGCGCTGTCGAGGTTGGGGATAAGATCGACGATCGTAAGAC